TACAAACTAACCCTGACCGCCTCCCGGTTAGCTGAATTGGTTAGAGCGCTGGACTGTTGTGGCCAATTTACCATTTCAACTTTGTTGTGCGGGAGGTCGAGGTCGATAGTTCGAGCCCCGGCCGGACCAACACTCAAGGTCTTAAAATAACTGAGGAGAATGCGCTACCTTTCTATAATATCAAGAAATGGATAGACATTCTAGTCTTCTCGGATAAGGACGAATAAACTGTAGGTCCCGTCTCCTGCATCTATTAATTAGTTAATTTGGTTAGGCAGGGGACGTTAAAGAACCCACTCACGAGATTACTGTGATGTGGTCTGGCCTGTTTACTGGGAATTGGGGGGAGGGGGCATCTTCAAATAAGTTTCCTTCGACGGTTTGTAAAGTGCTGATGCAGTTCGGCCAAAGTTCCCCGAAAAGTATTGTGATGGGCATTTGATATTAAACTATTATTATTATTAACCCCTTTCCAACACGGGGCGATAAAATACTGGACTTGGTGATTACAAACGCTCCTGACTGCGTGAACGAGGTATTGTCTCCCGAAGAAGCAGGTGTTTTTCTGATCACGGAATAGTTTGTTTTGATTTCTCTGCATTCACAAAGGTACCCCCAAAACTCCAGCGCTCTGTTCTTGATTACTCAAAGGCAGATTTCGATGGCTTGCGTGCCTCTCTCAATGCTGTAGGACTGCTCACGGGCTTTGATGACAACAGCGATACTGACACGGATTGGCAAGTTCAAGTTGGAAAGACACGTTTCTGGCTGCCGTAAAGGACTATGTACCGACTAAAAAGTTAAAGGGCCGTAATCCCGTTCCCTGGATAAATGGTGTTATTCTCAATCTTATTAAGAAAAAAGAAACTGTGCGAAGGAAGCTGAAAAAGTCGCCCAGTAATGCTAATCTCAAGTCTAAATTTAGAGCTCTGCGTAACGAAGTTAAACAACTGCTTCGTGCCAGTCGCGAAGATTTCCTCTGTTATCTAGAACCAGACTTCAGAAACAAAACCAAGCGCTTTTGGTCTGTGCTTAAACTGAAGTCCAAATCCCGAGGACTCCCATCTGAAATCTCCATGGCAACAGGGGACCCAATTACTGGTGCCCAGGACCCTGATCGACCGAGAACTACAACTGACAATCCCGTGGCGATTGCAAATTTATTTAATAAATACTTTGCCTCTGTGTTTATAGAAGATCCTCCTTGTTCTGACAGTGAAGCTGCGTCATCTCCTCCTCCCCTCGACCCCGAACTATCCCACCTGTCATTCGAAGTGGCGACATAGTATCTGTGATCAGGGGTCTGGACGTGAATTAAGCGACCATGTCAGATAACGTACCTGTCAGACTGTCGAAGGAGACTGTAAAGCAGATTCCCATTTCTCTCTGCGCCATTTTTTAACAAATCTGTTCGGCTCGGCAAATTCCCCACTGAGTGGAAGGAAGTGAACATCGTCCCTGTACACAAGAAATACTCTGTCCAGCATGTTGAGAATTATAGGCCGATATCACTTTTATCTGTAGTTTCGAAAATAATCGAACGATGTGTATTTAACGGAATTAAAGATAGCATCTATTGCCTAATTCAGAGGTGTCAACACGGATTCATGGCAGGCCGCTCGTGCTTGACCCAACTAGTCGAAGTTCTTGACACTAGCTACTAGCTCTCAATTAGATGAAGGGCGTCAAATAGACACCGTATATCTGGACTTGTCAAAGGCCTTTGACAGAGTTAGTCATCAAAAGCTCAGTAATAGGCTGGCCCAGTACGGTTTTGGCGGGCGTTTGCTAAAATGGTTTCAATCCTTTCTCACCAGTCGGAGCCAGAGCGTCATTGTTCCAGGGGGGACTTCCTCCAGTCGGCCAGTGATGTCGGGGGTCCCACAGGGCTGAATGCTTGGCCCAATGCTCTTTCTACTCTTCGTCAACGATCTTCCCAAGGTAACTCTCCGCAGTAACGTTGCTGCATTCTCGGATGACACTAAGGTTTTTAATGTCATAAATTCGCCCGAAATCGAATTAGATCTTCAGTCGGAATTGGACCGCCTCGGCTGTTGGGCCAACAAGGTTGGGATGACATTCAATAGTAAGAAGAGCAAGGTAATGCATGTCACCCGGAAGCGTAAACCTCTTGAGAGCATCTACCAACTGGGCGGATCACCATTAGTCTACACCAAGGCTGAAAAAGACCTAGGATTATGGATATCAGACGATCTTTCCTGGTCAAAACAAGTCTCTGAAATGTGCACGAAAGCTAACCGGACACTCGGATACGTCAGACGGAATTCAACAACCATCAAGAGTACAAGTATAAGGCGTTCGATGTATCTTGCCCTTGTCCGGCCTCACCTTGGCTACGCTACCCAGGTGCGGGGCCCCACAACGGAAGAAACTCATTAGACAAGTTGAACGAATTCAGAGACGTGCCCCAAAGTTTATTTTAGGACTACCATTCCGTTGCGATATGTCATACAAAGAGAGACTCATGAGACTGAAACTATTGCCCTTAACATACTGGCGTGAGTATGTTGACTTGATATTCTTTTTCAAGTTAGTTAATGGCCTAATGGATTGTAACCCAACAATTTTACCTAAAGTTCGCTTGGCCCGGCCCACTAGATCAACTACTTTTTCAGCTTCAGAGCAATTCGTAATTCATAAATGTAAAACATTCACTTTTCAAAAGTCTTTTATAATTAGATCTACACGCATCTGGAACACTTTAAGAAATTTTCTAGACAGTTCTCACCACTCCGATCTTATTTCATTTCGAAACGCTCCACTTGATTACTATTTTACCGCTCTCTCTAGAAATTATGATCTAGTGGCTACCACAATTACATGCTGTTACTGATGCATATTTATATCTACGTAGCTTCGTCTAGTTCTTAATATTTTAGCTCTGGGTCCACAGTAGCTGTTGTGGAATACCTGCCATCGTAAGTAAGTCCATTGTCTGTTTTCGTATTGTGACTTTGTATTGATGTAATTATAAGTTGGCAAAGTTAATGAAACTAAACTAAACTTACCGGAGTACGGCTCCAATGTTAGCCTGAAATACAGGAGCTAGAATCGGTAGTGGATTAAAGCCCAGCTTCTGATTACTTGCACGTCATATCTGTTTGGCACACGGTGTGCATTTGAGAACCTTAAATTGGGTCATTGACTAAAAGACGGCTTCTGACTGGTGGCCGTGGAGGGGAAACACACAACGCGCAGGTGTTGCGTATGCGTACGTAGTGTCGACACAGTACGTGGGTCGTCATAATTGTAGCTTTCTTTCTTTTCTCTTTTCCTTTCTTTTCTCCTACCACGAATGGAAGGTGGAATTAGGATGTAAAAATTAGAACTATTGACATGATTTGGCAGCGGTGAAGTCTCCTTTTAGCGCAAAATCTGTTCCACACTCGATTTGAATACAGTACTACGTACTACGTTCACGTTGTGACTATGAAATCACTATTTTTGTTTTGCTTTACTATTGTATTATACAGCAATGAAAATACTCTTTCTCACCAAAGACCCTTCACTGCTTTTATCTCGTAACGGTTTACAGTCAAGTCGCCCGAAAGTCATCTCGTCCGAAACCAGAGTTATGTTGCCCAAAATTCAGTCATGTCGCCCGAAATCCTAGGTCATGTGGCCCCAAATTTTATCAAGAAAAGTAACATCTTAAGTAAATCGCAAGGAATAAACTCGTAAAATGTCGAATCGTGAAACTCAGGCTGTTCGTTTCGCTTCGTTTGATATCACGGAGATGTAATCCTAAAATAAAACACGAAAACAATAATAAAAAAATAGTAATATCAGTTATAGTGTGGTTCTCATTGTTGTTTTATATGTGGAAGCATTTTGTTTCGAACGAAGGTTCACATCACTACGATTGGAACATTGGAAAACGCCGCCGTCTTAAATACAGCACGTGCTCAAGAATTATCACGAACAACGCTGAAATGAACAGCGATATTTGAGTCTTTGTTTAACTTCATATTTGCATAGGTTAGCGGACAAAAACATTTTAACGAGTCAACATTTTACGAGTTTATTCCTTGCGATTGTTACTTTTCTTCAAGTTTCAACACTCGATAAAATTTCGGGCGACATGACCGGTTACCCTAGTAATTTATCTCACGCAATGCCATTATTGGGACAGCCTGGAGAGATCGGTTGACTGACGGTAATCTGTCGGTAGGGTGTTGGTAACCTTTCAGTAGAATGTTGGTTCGTTGGTTCATTTATTTCACACTATTTACATAAAATTAACATAGAAAGAAAAGTAAAGTTGCAACAAATGATTACAGAATAAAATAAATAAAGTACAGATTTTAAAAATGTGTATGGTGGCCAAATTAGCAAAGGCTTTCTAGTTGGCCACCACCAACTTTTAGATAAACAAAGAAATAGTACTGAGCATTTCGGTAACTTCAGGATAATTATTGCCGTGAAAAGTTTGATTTGCAATCCCCGATAGTTGTATTGAAAAGGTAAAATGTTACTAACCTCTGAGTGAACCTCTGCTTGGATATTGTATGGTTCATTATGACGTAAAGCCTCATGTAACCGTAGTTACAATAAATCAGGAAAGTATTACCTTCCTGATTTACCACTCTGCACGATGTGATACTCATGGTGAACATTTTAGCTATTGGGAGAGGAAGTGCCTCTATGGACCTGTCTGAGGTGTCTTGCATGACAAGATTAATAAAATTATCTTTGACACGTCTGGTCCATTTTCAATGCACATCCTCAATAATTTGAAGACACAATGAATGACTCAGTCTGCAGTTATGAATACATGCAAGAGATTGTGCAGCACTATGGAAGAGCAAAAGCTTCCTAAATGCTTGGCAAAACTCAGAAATTGTCCTGGGTGTGTCATTTGAATGAAATATAAATTGAAACCAGTTTCATTTTTAGCTGCAAGGAGACCCTTTGTCTCCTAATTAAACAACCAAATTAAACAACTTTTACTATGATATTAATTCTTGTTCAAATAATTCTGTTTTCAATTGTAACCATTTTACTTTTCACAAATACTGTGCGAAATACATTAAACCATATACAACAAATAATTACACTATGTGTAAAAAATACTTCTTGATTTCCTTAAGTTAAAGAATAAAATGAAAACAGCATCTACATGTACAAATAATTATTATTTAAAGTGACTTTTGCCACTTCTAAAAATTGTTTTACAAACTATAAATAACCAGCTTTGTGTTAACCCTAGGTGATACAATTATTACCTTATACATACATTTTACAGTCTACTATTTGATAGCCATGAATTGCAGTTCCTACATAATCTTTCTTTAAGAAATGAAATACGTTCTAAACATTCAAAGGCAAGTTAGAATGGTACATGGCTAAGCTAACCAGTTAACTTAAACTTCACTAACAAAGTATTGTTTTTGGTATACTGTGGTTTATTGATGATGTCAGTTGGTGCAAAGTCTGGATAACCGAAACCAATTACATTGAAAGGAGCCACAGGTCTCTGAAATGCATTCCGTTCAGGTTCAGCTGTCACTCTTTTTGTGATATGGTGTTTGGATTCCACACCATCAGACTGATCCATGATAGATAATTTGAAACTCTTTGGAAATGGCCATTCCAAGTGCTCATCATAATCACCTCTCATCACATGAACAAACAAGGCCACATGTGAACCATCTCCATTCTCCACACCATTTAAATTAATCCTCAAGCATAACTTGTACCCATATGGATTGGTGTAGAAACCAGGACTGTACATTACTGTATTTGTTCCACTGATTGCATCTTGGTAACATTTGAAAAGACTTTCTATCTTCCAGATGTATACTCCATTAAATAGCTGCCCTTCTTGCTGAAGCAACCTATCGTTTCAGGAGTAGGAAGATTAAAACAATTTAAATGCAGAGATTTTAAGAAGTTTTCAAGCAGACTGTGACTCTAGCATTGTTAATTTCTGAGGAAACAGGAAGCAATTTCGCCTGACATAGACGGCAAATTTCATTGGTTGCCAGTGCAGTGAAACCACTGTAGATGTTTTTGTGATTGAGCTCCTTCTCTTGCACTTATCAACTGCTATTTCAAACTATTTTATGTTTTTAAAGGGAAAGTACGATCTAGAAAAAATTTACTTATATCAAAAGTTCCTTGCTTGCATTGTCCTAACTGGCTATTCATTTGCGCCAAAAGCGTTTTAGTTGCGAGCAATTACGTTCCAAAAATCGGCATTTTCAAATTGAAATCCGCCATCTTTGTTATGACGTAGCAATAGTCAAACATGCTAATTTTATATCCCTGCTGAAGTGGATGTAAACAAGGAGAACAGCGGCGAGAGGGGCGCCACTTAATAAATTCTCCACTTGGATTTTAATCTAGCTGAGAGGATGTAGTACACTCATTTATGTTTCAAACGAAACATGGCTCGTTTTCAGGGGAAGGAGATACTTCTGTTGGGGAGAAAGAGAGAGAGAAAGTAAAGAAAATTAATTTCAAGAAGAAACGTCGGCCCGCTCAGTCGCACACGTCTTGGAAATCGCGAGTGGTTCTCTTGCGGTAACTGTCAAGGGAAACCAACGGAAAACGAGAATGTATCCTCCTACGAATTAAATGTACCAGAACACCGACTCAATTTGATCATGCCGGAAAAGCAAAGGCTTTTCCTTCAAATAAATCCTCGCTCTGGAGTGATAGTTATTTTGCTAAAGAAGACCGCGGTGCCCACTACAGATTCCTTTCACCTTGCTACCTCGGAATGAGATGAACTATTTTTGCACTTACAGGAACCCAGTTTCGGTGTATAACTGAACACGAGTCATTTGGAACTAATAAGATCAGCCCCAATCGGCATGCAACAAGTTAGAAATGATAGACTTGAAGATCATTCTTCGTATGCGTAAACACTGACAAACACAGTTGCCAAAATTAACGCAGACAAAAGGCAGTTAATTGTTACGAATTCAATTTGGTTGTTTCAGCATTTAACTTTAATTTGCAAAGATGTTTTTTGTCTTTATTGCTTGGAATTAGCTTCAACGCAGTATTTTTTATTAAAATATGTTTGAAATGTCGCGACTTGCGTGAAGTAGTGCATTGTTTTTTTAGGGACTTTAAGCAGTCACGACGGCAACGCCACGGAAGGCGTCGTTTAAAAAATTAGTTTCTACTTTTAGTTCGAATTTCGAAAATGGCTGTATGTGTTTACCGTCTCATACGGCGCCAGANAATTTGCAAAGATGTTTTTTGTCTTTATTGCTTGGAATTAGCTTCAACGCAGTATTTTTTATTAAAATATGTTTGAAATGTCGCGACTTGCGTGAAGTAGTGCATTGTTTTTTTAGGGACTTTAAGCAGTCACGACGGCAACGCCACGGAAGGCGTCGTTTAAAAAATTAGTTTTTACTTTTAGTTCGAATTTCGAAAATGGCTGCATGTGTTTACCGTCTCATACGGCGCCAGACCTCAAACTCAACGTAATGCGTAAAAGTAGCGTTGAGTTCCAACTGTAAATTAAAATAATTTGCCGCCGCGGTTTCGCTTCGCAGACGACGCAAAGTTTGGTGATTTCACGTTGTTGTTTTGCAAAGGACGGCTACGAAATGTACAAAGTTTTAAAACGCACGTGCTGTGCTATTGTTCTGCCAATTAGATCTTTTGTTTTTCCACGTTCTCGTTGCCGTAGCCGTTGTGGTTTGCTTAACTGAAGTCCCTATTTTCCACGCGCGCCGGAAAGTCGCCTCTATCATACAGTGTTTACATTAGAAATTACCTCAATATAACTGAAGCTAAAATGAAACTTTCGATTTCTTTTGAAAGCATAAGCACTGCATAATTACGTCAAGTAGTTGGTTGGAAGACATAAAAATTTCTATATTATTTTAATCGTGTCCAATTGATAGGATATAGTGAAATATGGGCGCCTGCCTGACGAAGGGTAATTTGCATTTGTCGCATACGTGTCTGTCTAGCGATGTAATAATTGTCATTTAGTTTTTTTCGTAGGAGAATGTGACTGGTGGGGTAAAGAAAATTTACACGGTGAACTCATAACAGACTTAGGAAAGACAAGATATGTTTGTATACCACTTGGAAAGGCGCATGATGTTGGAAAGCGGCTTTGATCAAGGGTGGCGACTGAATTTACCACACACAGTGTACCACCATTTCGAGCTTCAATTTATTCGCTCTCAATAAAATCGTTTGAAAAAACTCATAAAATAATTAATTGAGATTTGTGTTGAATATGTAAAAATGGGCAACTTCGAAGCGCCCTTGTCGCTAACACAAAGCAAACTAGACAAAATGGCAGTTATTTTCGAACTCCTGAGGAAAAAGTCTTCTAATTGAGATAAACTTTTTCTAGACCGTACTTTCCCTTTAAAAGGTCTCACCACTCGCAAGTCTAATAACCTAGCAGTCAGTGTAAAACGCAGACTGCGGATTGCAGACCGGGGGTAAAATGCAGACTGAGGGTAAAATGCAGACTGCCGACTGCAGACTGCAGACCAGGGGTAAAATGCAGACTGAGGGTAAAATAAAATCTTAATAATAAAAAACAAGACTTGGGAGTGTCTTGGGTCAGTGTTCTTACGCGTGCCCGTAATTTTTTTTTCAAAATCCCGAAAACTCAAACCAAAAGGCGTTTATTCGCCTTAGTCAAACATATTATCAACCTCGAGTTCTTAAACTCCCCATTTTGTTGAACCAAGTTCCCAAAAGCGCCCAAACTGATCGTAATAGACGAGTTCACGCTTGACGATGCATCATGGGTAATCAGGACATTGCCAAAAACAAAATGGCGGACGCGCTTCGATGGGTCTTTTGTTTCATGTCCTTTGTTCTAGGTTAGCATCCTCAGTTAGCGTTCCAACCATTAACTACAATACAAGAAGATACAGAGAGTTTATTTTTACAGTTTTTCTGGCTCAGAACACCAAACTGAGACAACAATTCTTCATGGCAAAGCACCTCGAGGACTTCCTCGAACTCTCGTGCGACTAACTTAAGTTCTATCTTCGACAGAGAGCTATTCCAGTCAGTGGAAATCATTCAGACCTAGCAGCACGTGCTCTGGTTGCGTTTGAACATAACGTCCCAGTAAAAAATTCTGCTGAAGACTTGGCAAAAGCTTTACAACATGAATACAAAGCACTACTTAAATCGCTTGATATTCAACAAGATCCTCTAGAGAGGATAGAATGGAACAAC